TTTTTTTTTTTTTTTTTTTTTTTTTTTTTTTTTTTTTGCTTCTGTCGCTTTCTTCAACCATCCTACTATATTTCTCTCTCTCTCTTTCTCTCTCTGTCATTCTACAGTCTTTCTGTTCTGGGTTTTTTTTTTCAAACACAAAGGACATACTGTATCTGCCAAGCTTAAACAGACTCATTCATCTTGGCTAAAGGGCGTTGCTGCGCACTCGCTCAGGTCACTAAAACTCACATTCAGCACTTCACACGAGTCTGACCAACACACCTCACCCTCTTCTAGACGGATGATAAATGTGTGCAAAATGAACCGAGAGCTCAGAAACAAGAGTTTGCCACGCGACGGCTGCTCAGACATGAACATGTTTTTCTGCCTGTGTGGAGGGCCGTGGCCGTCCTGGTGCGTGAAGACATGTGATATGAGGACAGCTGTCCCTAACACATGCAGGGACCCCAGACTACACGACTGACATCGCTAAACACCCCAGCGTTCATGCACTTCATTTGCCCTTTGAGCTATGAATCATTGGAATCATATTCATGTGTTTTTTCAACACAATATAATGAAAATCCTAAAACAAGCAACACATGTAATGGCCAACAGGGTTGTGCATCATTTAGAGTTGACAATTAAGAATTCCGCGGAAATTGCAGTTCAATTCCTGAATTTGAATTTGAATGGAAGTAGGTATTTGAAATTTAGAGAAATTAATTTAATGTAATTTTTATGAATGTTCACGATAGATAGATAGGATGGATGGATGGATGGATGGATGGATGGACAGATGGATGTGTTTTTAGTGTCTTGTGAGCAGGACAGCTGCTTTAAAGAGACGGTCAAGTTCACAGGCCCAGAACACCTCCACCCTGTCCTGCCCCCAACAAACACCAAAACACAGTTTATCTTGGTTGCTAACAGTTTCTTCAGACGTTTTTGCAATCTAAAAGCTTTGGCTACAATCCAGCCTCCAATCTGACATGTGAAGAGACAGCAGAGATGGCGTGTAGTCAGCCGATTCAAAACAAGCTAACGCTTCATCAGCGGCTGCTCGTCCAGACCAGCTGAAGTACGAAATGCTGGTCGCATCCCAGAGCTCTTATCAGCACAATGAATGAACGGAGTGTGCTGTTTTTCACAGAGCTCATAAAGATACAATTCTGCTTTTTGGGGAGATGATTATTGACTTAACCATGATAGATAGTCAGCTCAAAGGAAGCAAAGTCTGTCTGGTGTTTTGCATTTCATCTTCAGGAGGAGAAGATCCAGTTGGCAACGTTCAGAGAGAAGCTATTTACTATTATTTAGCCGAGCAAAACGCAAGTATTCAAGGAGCTGCTGTTGTTGAGGGGTGTTATTTCTTTTCTAAGTGTTCAGATTTTTTACATGGCAGAAGATAAATTGAGCCCAAGCACTGCAAAAATATATATATATTTTTGACTTCTTGTACTTTCAAAACATTCTCAAATGAATAGTTCACCCAAAAATTAAAATTTGCTGAAAATTTACTGAAAAGACGATTTCTCTCCTGATTCAGACCAGAACACTTTTTCACTGGAGGAAGAATATCATGGAGGACTCCCAGAAGCATCGGTTTAAAGTTAAAAACATCTTGATGGATTTGTTTCTTACAAACACGCAGCTTTTGGCTCCACAAGGCATTAACTGATGGACTGGAGTGGTGTGGATTACTTGTGGATTATTGTGATGTTTTTATCAGCTGTTTGGACTCTCATTCTGACGGCACCCATTCACATCCATTGGTGAGCAAGTGATGCAATGCTACATTTCTCCAAATCTGATGAAGAAACAAACTCATCTACATCTTGGATGGCCTGAGGGTGTCTGAATTTTCAACAAATTTTAATATTTTAGTGAACTATTCATTTAACCGCTAATTAATGTTATTTAGATATGTTAACTGGGAAATTGGACAAAAACACTGGATTATAAAAATACTGAGAACTGGATTATTTTTTTATCATTAAAAATGCAAGGAATAAGTAAGCACTTTTGTGGTTGGTTCTCGATTCCATTGGTGGTGATTTGGGCGTCAAGCATCAAACCCGCAGCCTGTTCTCAGAGCAGTTTATCAAACACTAAAGTTTGATAAACTGTGGTGAATCTGCAGTCCAAGCACAATTTTTGTGGCTGTTTTAGAGTTGTTTTTCCAGGGGTCTCCATGGGTCAACGTGCTCCGGCTCCACAGACCAGAGGAATTCCTCATCTGAGCGCAGCGCCTCGCTTGGGAATGCAGATAATGCCGTAGATTATCAATGACATGTTTATGGTTCAGATTTATATTTCCCCTCTAACAGGCAGTGAATGCTCCTTCTCTTTATGAAAATATATTTATATCGGCTCGCAGTGAAACGGCGCACTGTTGAGCGCAGAGCCTTTTCATGCTTGTGTTGGCGTTTCACGTTACTTGATGGCCTGTTTTTGTTTTGTGTGTGCTGGACGGTTAAATGATGACTTGCGAGGGCTCATAAACCGAGTATGTTAAGTAGCTATCTGAAATGAATGACCCATTCTGAAAGAAAAACACTTATGCATAAAGGGTTATTTCTGAGAATTTGTGTTAATGTCACATATTGTTTGATGTATGCTGTTCTTGTTTACCCTTTCTCAAATGCATTTGATTTTGGATTTTCAAGTATTTATTTAAATATGCTTGAAGTGTCCTGACTAGGTGAATTTTATGAAGCATATCCAGGTCATATTTCAAGCCAAAATGTATAGTGTTTCTTAAAGAGAATGTGCTCTTCAAGAAAAAATGCTCTTAAAGTATTACATCAATTGATCTCTTTTCATTCAAGTTAGTGCTAGATGCTTGTTAAAGTCATCTAAATTTTAAAATAGAAAATGAAAAAAAGAAATAAGTACAGGCAAATTAAATATGTAATATATGATGCAATAAATAAAAATACATAAAATAATTGTCCAGTAACCAGTATGGTGTGGATGCATCATGCATCTCTATAAGAAATTATGTTTTACATTAAGACCAATAAGAATTTTTGCATAGTGACGCAAAAAAAAGAAAAAAAACGTATTTACTTGAAATAATATAACTGAAATATAATCAAAATAGATATAAAAAAACAACTTAAACATATTTTATTCCAGCAAGTTACCAACATTTCACGTCAAGTTGATGGAAAATTAATACAAAATTATGTAGACATAAAAAAAAAAAATAAAAAAAAATGACAAAAACACACAATAAAATTATTCAAATTTAAGTAAAATTAAAATGAAAACAGAAAATAAAAACAAATAAAAAATATTTGCATTATCTATATTAGTGTCAGTGATACCAAAATAACGCTTTTGTGACTTTATTTTCATGACAATTAAATACATTTTCACCTCAAATTCTCATTAATGAAAAAAAATATTCATTCATTCATTCATTTAATACAAAAAAAGGTTATGTTATTTAACTTGTAAGGTATACATCAAGGTAGTAATTGTTGCATACTAATTTAATTTAAAAAGTAAAATTAAAAAAGTAATGTAATAATGTAAAAGTAATGACATATATACACTACCGGTCAAAAGTGTGGGATCAGAACGATTTTAGGATTCTTTGATGAATAAAAGTTAAAAAGAAGAGCATTTATTTAAAATAGAAATCTTTTCTGACAATATACACTACAGTTCAAAAGTTTGGGGTTGGTACATTTTTATTCTTTCTTTTTTTTAAAGAAATTAAAACTTTTATTCAGCAAGGATGTGTTAAATTGATAAGCAGTGATAGCAAAGATTTATATTGTTAGAAAAGATTTATATTTTGACTAAATGCTGTTCTTTTTAACTTTTTATTCATCAAAGAATCCTGAAAAAAGTATCGCAGTTTCCTAAAAAATATTTGTCAGCACAACTGTTGATAATTCTAATAATAACTCAGCATATTAGAATGATTTCTGAAGATCATGTGACACTTTATACTGGAGTAATGATGATGGAAATTCAGCTGCGCATCACAGAAATAAATTATATTTTAAAGTATATTAAAATAGAAACCATTATTTTATATTGTAATAACATTTTGCAAGATTACTGTTTTTTTCTGTATTTTTGATCAAATAAATTCAGCCTTGATGAGCAGAAGAGACTTCTTTAAGTCTTACTGATCCCAAACTTGTGACCGGTAGTGTATGTGTATATATATGTATATATATGTAAATGGCCCTAAAAATAGGTTTTCTTTTTTTCTTTTGATATTGGGCTGAATTATGCTCATTAGATTCACTTTATTTACTTCTAAACTGTCTACTTTTTAATGCAGTAATAGTTGCCTTTAGTGTAAACAATAATGTATTGTTTGAAAGAATCTGAACACACAGCTCTGAGTGGACACAATGAAGAGATTTCAGCCCGATTTTCAGACTCTAAGGGTTAAACAGTCTGAGGTTAAGTGCATTACTGGAGCACAACGGTGATTGTTCATGGATTAACCCCCTGCACGGCTTGAATCTTCAACCTTTTTAGTCAGGAGCCCACTACAGCGAGTCCAGTAACACAGCTTCATTTCTCCGCTGAAATGTCTCTTTGTTTGTAGGTGCTTCAGATGGACGTGAAGGTGGAGAACGTCCTGAAGATCCTGACGGAGCATTTTCAGCCCAAGCCAGAGCTGCTGCAGAAACCCGGCGAGTACAGCTCTCGCGTCACCGTCATTCACTGTCACTTTTGACCAATTTAATGCATCCTTGCTGAAGAAAAGTATTAATTTCTAATTTCTTAAAATCTTCCTGACCCTAGGTTTTTGAACGGTAGTGTAAACATTAATATAACACATTTGATAAATATTATAAAATATTATTTTATTAATATTTTATATACTATATAAAATATGTAAATTAACAATTAAATGTTAACATTATTATTATTATTTATAATAAACATTTATACAGTTATTGCAACTAATATAAAATATAATACATAATATGCGGTCAAAAACGGGTGTCTATTTAATGATCAAAATATATTTTAACACTTACCCTTAATTGTCCTGCACAACAGAAGCTGAAAACCTAAAGAAAAGGGAATTGTATGACTAGATAAGGGCTTATTTTTGTCTTGGAGACAAGCACTGTATCTGAGAAAATGAATGATACGCCTGCTGCTGACACGACTGTACAGTTTTATAAAGAAAAAAAAACATGTAAATATTGTAGTAATAATGCCTTATATTTATGTCCATGTAGTGCTGCTGGTTTGGATTCATATTCTGCTGGAATGATAAGCTGTGATCTGTTGTAATCATGTAAATGCAGTTTAATTATGTATCATATTGCATTCTGGCATTATGCGAGGGCACCTGTCACACGTGTTAACGATTAAAGTTCGGAGACTCAAACGTGGTGGAGAAAGTGAAAATGACATGTTTCCATATTCCTTATTTCTCTGCACCTACATTCAGGTCTTGAATTTCTGCTCATTTGAAGGCCAAAATATATACGGTCTGGTGAAGATCCGTACGTTTGCTTTTGTCTCGGCGTTTTAGCTCGCTGACGGGACCTTGAAAGAGAAGTGGAGTCGTCTACAGGCCCAGCTGTGTACAAGAGAGACACTGTCGGCCTTTCATCTGCAGACTTTATAGAGAGCCCCTATGCTTTGAAAAGGCCGTTTGATGTCGGAGAGCTCGATCGTGCGCTATCCTCTTGGAAAAGCATTAGGGATGCAAACGGCGAGGTTCTCTGCTCCTGTGACGTACCAGAACAAACCGGCACAAAGCCCACGGACGCTGATGATTGTTTAACATCTTTCAAGGCTAAAAACATACTCATATTTCCTTCTTTCTCGCTCAAAGGTCTAAGAATACACTGTGAGTTTCACTAAAAGGTGATTATTGCAAGCATTTGGTGTGGGATTTACTTTTTCATTCAGAAATTCCTATACATTTCACAAAGAAACCGCAAGTAACCTTGAATTAAACATGACTGAAATAGTATTTTGTTGTAAAACATACTCCAATAATCTTTTTTATGACTCATTTTAAAAGGAACTGACTTCCAACATTTCTATAAAATCTGCTAAAAACAACTAGAATATGTTGAGTTTTAGACGTCTTCTGCATCATTCGCTCTACTAGGCATTTTAACTAGCTTAACCAGCAGTTTCTTGGTCAACCAACTTCACTAATTGGTCATAAACCAGGTCTGGTGCAATGCAGTTTTATTTTAGTATCATTAATATACTAAACATAGTTTTTGTTAATACTTTGTATTAGTTTTTATTTTTTATTTTTTTTTTATTTAAATTTTAGTCGGTTTTAGTAATTTTGTTGTATTTTGTCTTTTTTTTTTTTTTTTTTTAAATAAGTCTATTTAGTTCTGATTCATTCGTATTTCTGTTTTAGTTATTTTAGTACTTCCAGTTAAACTAAAATAAAATGATGAATGATGGTTTGGCAACTAGCTGAAATAAAATAAGTTTAAGATTTTTGTATTTTATTTTCAGTTAATGTTTGTTTTATTTCAAGTATCATTTTTATGTTTTTAAATTTTTTATAATATTAAAAACTTTTTTATATTATGTACTTATAATCTTTCAATCTATTTATTTTTTATCTTTTATATATTATTTTAAATTTTATTTATAGTCATTTTTTTTTAATACGTCTATATAGTTATTAATTTCTATTCTATTTCTATAATATTCTATTCTATCAAGTTAAACTAAAATAGAGTGATAAATGATGGCTTGGCAGCTTTATATATTTTTTTCCAGATTTGACATTTTTCATAACATAAAAAAACTTTTATAATATATAATGATCTTTTAATCTTTTGTTTTAGTTAACGATAATAACCCTGCTGCTATGTTAGGTTTTCCACTCCTGGTTAGATTGTTAAAACAGAAGTTCACCAAAAACCCAGCCACCCCCTGCATAACGGGGCCTGTTTGACCTGATGACAAGCCTGAGCTGTGTGCCCATTACTGGGGGGCCACCTGTGGCCCCAGGGCCCCGTGAGGAGCTGTGGTGCCCTATGAAAGCAGATATTGGTATGAACAGGTGTGCGGCGGGGGACGGGGGCAGCTGCGCCTCGTGGCTTCTAGAAATAGCAGCGAGGAGCAGACAGTTGTTGTGTTTGACGGAGGGGCAGCAGTGACCAGTCCATCAGTCTAGAGTTTACATTTATATTTATTCATTTAGCGGATGCTTTTATCCAAAGCGACTTACAAATGTGGAATACAAGCGATTTGTCACAAAGAGGCAAATAAACACAAGAAGTACTCGTAATCCAAAGTTGCAGAGTTGCAGTCCCTCTTTCTTGCAAGATAAAGTGCCAATTTTAAATGAGTTAATTGGAAGTCTGATTTGTGACAACAAACCGTCCCTGTTCTTGAACTGAAAATTAAAAAAAGAAATTATATATACATTTTAAAAATAAAAAAGGTGTGTGTGTGTATAAAACATATATGTGTGTGTGTCTCGGCGGCAGCAACAATACTACAGCGAGAATCAAAGTTACGCCTTCTTTCTTTCCGTGGACATTTGGGCGGTGTTATGCAAATCTTCCCACATAGTGATGTAGATATGTGGGGGCGTGTTAGAACGAGCCGTTTTAGGTAGGTGTGGCTGACTCTTAACTTTTATAAAGAATATCTCTTTGGTTTTGAGACTTTAATCTTTGCAACTTTACAGATCTTATCTATTCACGAACAGCTTGTAACACTCCAAAGAGAAAGGAAAACTTGAAATCGCATCATATGACCCCTTTAAGCAAAATAATATTGTATTAGCTACTTATATATGTAGTATATATATAATCTATAAATTATACATTTTCTATAAAATTATTAAAATTTTAGTTTTTCACTTTCCATCCATGTAATTTCTATGCGAATTGTGGGATATTGCATAAAACATTCTGGACGGAAACACTAAGATGCAAATAAGTTTTCATAAAATATGTATATGCTCATTTGAAGTGGAGAATTTGTTTTTTTTGTAAGAATAAAAGTGAAAAAAAAAAGTGGGGGGAAAAAAGTCATGTGACTTGGCCTCAACAGGTCATGTGACTGATGATTGGCAAGAAGTTCAGGGTAAAGTTCAGGTAAGAACTACAAATTCCGTTTACATTTCTGTTTTGCACTAAATTACTAAGTTTTCTTGACACGCTATTCCCATTAATATTTGCCAGCCTGTTGTAGCTCTGCCAGCTGCGGGAATGTGGATTGAAGCACATTATGTTGTTATTGAGCAACCGTGCATTGCTGTGGACTGTTCGTCCAGACGCGAGGAGGATTCCAGGCCTGTGCGCTGGAAAGACTTCAGTGCTGCGGGTTGGTTTGGCCATCCGGAGGAGAATGAGAGAAATGAGAGGAGACAGCTGCTACCAACAGTACCGGCGCACGGGTGCACGCCACGTCATGGCCCGGGACAACACACAGACACACACACACACACACACACACTCACACACACACACACTCACAC